AGGTTTTTTTTTAAATCTGTTACGAGCCACATCACTTGTGTACACTAACGCATGTGCAAGAATGTAAAACAAGGGTCCACGGAAGACCCCATTAGAGCATGGGATCCCACAAAAGTCTTCAAGAGCTTGCAATGAAGGATGTCAGTTTGCAAGTGATGACTGATGGTAAATAGTAGGATGTACAGACGGAAGCTGTTGAAAGCTCTTCGCTTTAGCACATTTTTCCCAAATTCAGCTAGTACGTGAGACAAATTAGCCTCTTCCTTCTCTCATGTGTACGCATTGCGTTAGTATTGCAATGACATTCCAATGCGGGTTCTATTATGAGAAATTTTAACATGGCTTTAAATTATACTCCATAGAGTAGACCTGTGAGCTGCAGCGCCAATCAGATTTCTATGAGACCATCTCAGTCAGGTTTCTGTGAGACCATCTGATAGAAATAGCTGAGTTTTACTTGGCCTCTAATTGCTGACAGAGTGGCAGCCACTGAAGGCATTTAAACCCTGCAAAATGGCAATGCATTACATTGCAGGGTTAAAGGAACACTAGGGGCACCCAAACCACCTAACCTCAATGCCTATCTGATTGGCGCAGCGTGGTGTTTTACTGCGCATGCGCACTAGCCCCCCAACGCTTTCCTATGAGAACACATTGGATTGGCTAAAACCATCGATCTTGATGACCTCAGCCAAAGAGGCACAGCTTCACTGAGGAGACCCGCGCTGCACAGAAGAAAATATAAGTAAACTACCCTTTTTAACCCTGACAGCACTGGCCGTCTCACCTAAACAGTGACTACGGTGTTACAATTTAGAGCTTTTTTTGTTTTTTTGCAATAGTGCAATTGAATAAATGATTAATACCTGGTGGAGCATCTTGGGAATTGTAGTTCAGAAATCATCAAGCAGTGCCATACTTAGCAATCTCTGCTGTGTATTCCTTGTAAGAGACATCTGAAACAACTGCAATTATTTATTTCAACCTGTGTATCAAACCAAAATATGTCATGTGATTGTAAGCTTATAGGCAACTCCTGCATCCTCTGTAATGTGTGTCTGCCATGGATGTTTTTTGTTTCTGATTATCAGTTCTGTTTGTGTTCTGCAGATCTGGGAAATACTGGGACATTATGAAGAATATCTGAACATTCTCTCATGGTTGCTGGTGCATTCAGACACTATCAAACTCAATGCAGCTCTGCTCTGTTTTTCCTCCAGCAGATCAGGGGTTAAAACACCAGCCCTCCTGTCCAGATGTTACCAAACGGCCAATCAAGAGGAAGAGGCAGGACCAGTGTGAATTTCTCCCAGGCTCTCTGCTCACAGCAGCTGTAGTAGGATCCGCAGCTCCATGACCAGGGCAGCCGGCAGAGTAACAGCACAGGAGGCAGGTAAGGTGCTCACTATGAAGGGGCAGCCAGTTACTGTGCAGGAGGCAGGTAAGGTGCTCACTATGGAGGGGCAGCCAGTTACTGTGCAGGAGGCAGGTAAGGTGCTCACTATGAAGGGGCAGCCAGTTACTGTGCAGGAGGCAGGTAAGGTGCTCACTATGGAGGGGCAGCCAGTTACTGTGCAGGAGGCAGGTAAGGTGCTCACTATGGAGGGCCAGCCAGTTACTGTGCAGGAGGCAGGTAAGGTGCTCACTATGGAGGGGCAGCCAGTTACTGTGCAGGAGGCAGGTAAGGTGCTCACTATGGAGGGGCAGCCAGTTACTGTGCAGGAGGCAGGTAAGGTGCTCACTATGGAGGGGCAGCCAGTTACTGTGCAGGAGGCAGGTAAGATGCTCACTATGGAGGGGCAGCCAGTTACTGTGCAGGAGGCAGGTAAGGTGCTCACTATGAAGGGGCAGCCAGTTACTGTGCAGGAGGCAGGTAAGGTGCTCACTATGGAGGGGCAGCCAGTTACTGTGCAGGAGGCAGGTAAGATGCTCACTATGGAGGGGCAGCCAGTTACTGTGCAGGAGGCAGGTAAGGTGCTCACTATGGAGGGGCAGCCAGTTACTGTGCAGGAGGCAGGTAAGGTGCTCACTATGGAGGGGCAGCCAGTTACTGTGCAGGAGGCAGGTAAGGTGCTCACTATGGAGGGGCAGCCAGTTACTGTGCAGGAGGCAGGTAAGGTGCTCACTATGAAGGGGCAGCCAGTTACTGTGCAGGAGGCAGGTAAGGTGCTCACTATGGAGGGGCAGCCAGTTACTGTGCAGGAGGCAGGTAAGGTGCTCACTATGGAGGGGCAGCCAGTTACTGTGCAAGAGGCAGGTAAGGTGCTCACTATGGAGGGGCAGCCAGTTACTGTGCAGGAGGCAGGTAAGGTGCTCACTATGGAGGGCCAGCCAGTTACTGTGCAGGAGGCAGGTAAGGTGCTCACTATGGAGGGGCAGCCAGTTACTGTGCAGGAGGCAGGTAAGGTGCTCACTATGGAGGGGCAGCCAGTTACTGTGCAGGAGGCAGGTAAGATGCTCACTATGGAGGGGCAGCCAGTTATTGTGCAGGAGGCAGGTAAGATGCTCACTATGGAGGGGCAGCCAGTTACTGTGCAGGAGGCAGGTAAGGTACTCACTGTGGAGGGGCAGCCAGTTACTGTGCAGGAGGCAGGTAAGGTGCTCACTGTGGAGGGGCAGCCAGTTACTGTGCAGGAGGCAGGTAAGGTAATTTCACTGTGGAGGAGCAGCCAGTTACTGTGCAGGAGGCAGGTAAGGTAGCACTACATTGGAGGCAGCCAGTTGCCGTGCAGGAGGCAGGTAAGATGCTCACTATGGAGGGGCAGCCAGTTACTGTGCAGGAGGCAGGTAAGATGCTCACTATGGAGGGGCAGCCAGTTACTGTGCAGGAGGCAGGTTAGGTGCTCACTATGGAGGGGCAGCCAGTTACTGTGCAGGAGGCAGGTAAGGTGCTCACTATGAAGGGGCAGCCAGTTACTGTGCAGGAGGCAGGTAAGGTGCTCACTATGGAGGACCAGCCAGTTACTGTGCAGGAGGCAGGTAAGGTGCTCACTATGGAGGGGCAGCCAGTTACTGTGCAGGAGGCAGGTAAGGTGCTCACTGTGGAGGGGCAGCCAGTTACTGTGCAGGAGGCAGGTAAGGTGCTCACTATGGAGGGGCAGCCAGTTACTGTGCAGGAGGCAGGTAAGGTGCTCACTGTGGAGGGGCAGCCAGTTACTGTGCAGGAGGCAGGTAAGATGCTCACTATGGAGGGGCAGCCAGTTACTGTGCAGGAGGCAGGTAAGGTGCTCACTATGGAGGGGCAGCCAGTTACTGTGCAGGAGGCAGGTAAGGTACTCACTGTGGAGGGGCAGCCAGTTACTGTGCAGGAGGCAGGTAAAGTGCTCACTATGAAGGGGCAGCCAGTTACTGTGCAGGAGGCAGGTAAGGTGCTCACTATGGAGGGGCAGCCAGTTACTGTGCAGGAGGCAGGTAAGGTACTCACTGTGGAGGAGCAGCCAGTTACTGTGCACGAGGCAGGTAAGGTAGCACTATTGAGGGGCCGCCAGTTACTGTGCAGGAGGCAGGTAAGATGGTCACTATGGAGGGGCAGCCAGTTACTGTGCAGGAGGCAGGTAAGATGGTCACTATGGAGAGCAGCCAGTTACTGTGCAGGAGGCAGGTAAGATGCTCACTATGGAGGGCAGCCAGTTACTGTGCAGGAGGAGGCAGGTAGGTGCTCACTATGGAGGGCAGCCAGTTACTGTGCAGGAGAGGCAGGTAAGGAGTGCTCACACTATGGAGGGCAGCCAGTTGCAATGCAGAAGGAAGGGTAAGGTGCTCACTATGGAGGGGCAGCCAGTTGCCTGTGCAGGAGGCAGGTAAAAGGTACTCACTGTGGAGGGCAGCCAGTTACTGTGCAGGAGGCAGGTAAAAGTGCTCACTATGAAAGGGCAGCCAGTTACTGTGCAGGAGGCAGGTAAGGTACTCACTATGGAGGGCAGCCAGTTACTGTGCAGGAGAGCAGGCCAGAGTACTCACTGTGGAGGGGCAGCCAGTTACTGTGCAGGAGGCAGGTAAAGTGCTCACTATGAAGGGGCAGCCAGTTACTGTGCAGGAGGTAAGGTGCTCACTATGGAGAGGCAGCCATTTACTGTGCAGGAGGCAGGTAAGGTGCTCACTATGAAGGGGCAGCCAGTTACTATGCAGGAGGCAGGTAAGGTGCTCACTATGGAGGGGCAGCCAGTTACTGTGCAGGAGGCAGGTAAGGTGCTCACTATGAAGGGGCAGCCAGTTACTGTGCAGGAGGCAGGTAAGGTGCTCACTATGGAGGGGCAGCCAGTTACTGTGCAGGAGGCAGGTAAGGTGCTCACCCTGTGAATGGGGAACGACAGGATTAGAATTTTGTGTCCTTTTGATCTTTCTCAACAGTCCTCTTAGCTCCCGGCTGTAAATGCAGACACTTTCTGTCGCATACAGAAATATGATGGATTTTTACACCTTGCTCCTGTCCATTTTATGGATTCTCATAAACGTTTAGTTTTTTTGGAACATATTTCTCTGGTGTCAATCAAGTTGTGATATATTCCAGATATTTAAAAATGTATGTTGTGTCACATTATCTCACATAATCTATTAGATATTAGATGATATTCTTGACATATACCACTCTCTTCCTGCTGATATGTTTGTGTGAGTGTATATGCATGTCAATTTGTTATGTTATTATTAAACATTCATATATTATTATTACTTTTAGAGAACAAACAAATTCTACAAAGTTGTGCAATGGGTGGACTAACAGACAAGTATTTTTGACCAGACGAATTAGACGCACAGAAACAGAGGGTGTTGAGGGCCCTGCTCAAACAAGCTTTCATTTTAGAAGGAGAGGGGTAAAGTGACACAAGAGGTAAGGGTAGGATATATTTTATGCACAGGAAAATTTGGTTGCCAGAATAATTTTAAATAAAGGCTCTTTAAAAAAAAAAAATTTTTTTTATAGATATAGAAGTAGATGTAAAAAAAAAATTATTATCTTATAATACCTTTTTTATTGGACTAACATAATTTTTTAATTACAAGCTTTCGGGAGAACCTCCCTTTCTCAAGATTGAAGCATTTCTGAGCAAAACGACCATGCTTCAGACTTGAGAAAGGGAGGTTCTCCCGAAAGCTTGTCATTAAAAAATTCTGTTAGTCCAATAAAAAAGGTATTACAAGATAAGAATTGTATCTGTTTTTTACATCTACATCACTGGACTAATACGGCTACAATCTCTACTTGAACTATATTTTATATATATATATTTTATGACACAGTTGCAGGAGAGGAAACACGGTGGGTTACCAAGGTGCGGGGAGGGAAAGCTATTAACAGTTTAATTGATATGCTTTCATGGAGAAGTGAGTTTTTACAGATTTTTTGACGGAATGTAGACGTAAAGAAGTAGGGAAGGGAGTTCCATAGGAACGGTTCAGCCCTAAAGAAATCTTTATGGTGCAAGTTCGATGTGTAAGTACGAACAGAGGATGGGTAGATAGGAGCACCGTTATGTAGAGATTTGTAAGCAAGTACCAGAATTTAACGCTTATGTGCGTTATGTTTTTGAGATGGAAGCATCAGGATTTGGCGATTGACTGGACATGAGGGGTGAAGGAGAGGTTGGAGTCAAAGACAAGACCTAGGCAGCGAGCCAGCGAAGCATAGCTGATGGTAGCGCCAATGACTTGGAGAACGACTGACAGAAGAGTAGAAACACTTGAGAAAGACAACAAGATCTGTTTTGGACAGGTTACGTTTAAGGAAGTGGGCAGCCAACTAGTTAGAAACAGCAGAGAGACAGTCAGAGACATGAATCAAGAGGGACGGCGGTGGAACAGGAGAGGACAGATAGAACTGCATGTCATCCGCACAAAAGTGATATTGAAAGCCAAAGATGCTGATGAGTTTACCAAGGGAGTCAGTATAGATTGAGAACAGTAGTGGACAAAGGACTAGACATTAAGGAACACTAACAGAGAGGGCTTGCGGAGAAGAGGAAGAGCCAGAGAAAGAAACACTGTAAGAGCGCTGGGGGAGATAGGAGGAGAACCTAGAGGAGAGTCTTGTAGATAGAGATTATAGAAGATAAGAAGAAGCTGTTGATGATCAACAGTGTCGAAAGCAGCAGAAATGTCAAAGAGAATTAAGAGAGAGTAGCGACCACTGGATTTTGCAGCAATTAAACCATTGGATACTTTGGTCAGGGCCATTTCGACAGAGTAACAAACACAAAATCCAGACTGGAGATGGTCAAGCAGAGTTGGATTCAAGGAAGTTGGTCAATCGCACATACACAACTCTCTCAAGGATCTTGAAGGCAAACTGTAATAGCGAGATAGGGCTGTAGTTGGTTGGGGAGTTATGGTAAAGTATGGGCTTTTTTTTTTTTTTTAAGAATCACATTTACGGTTGCATGCTTGAAGGGTGATGGAAATATGCCAGGGGGATTGAATATTTTGGTAAGGGGCAGAGCAAGAGAAGGAGACATAACAGGAATGAGATGTGAGGGAATAGTAATGAAGGAACAGGTGGTGGGGTGTGAGGACCAGAGCAGAGAAGAATCTTTTTCTGGTGTAGCGGTTGCGAGTGAGCATAGAACAGCAGAGGGAGTGTGGTTGAGGGAAGTCTTGGTAGGGGTAGGAGAGAGATTCGCAGAAATCTTCTTAGTGAAGGGAAATGCAAAAGTTGTAGCGGTCAAGTTAGTAGGCGGAGAAGCAGCAACAGTGAGAGGAAGAGAGTAGTTAAAAGTGTGAAAGAGGTGTTTGGGTTTTCAGGAGAACATGGTTATGAGGTTATTGAAGTTGTTTTTTGTGCAGAAGAAAGAACCAAGCTGTACGACCTTAGCATAAATTTTATAGTGAAGAAATTCAGGTGCAGAGTGAGACTTTATCCAACAGTGTTTGGCTGTTCTGGAGAATTGTTGTGGGTATCGGGTCAACTTGGTGTGCCAAGGATTTAATCTGGGGCACTTGCAACATTTAAATGTAGGAGGTGCCATGATGATATGTAGTTGAGAGTGGAGTACATAAAGAAGGGTACGTGGAAGGAAAAAAAAACGTGAACTTCGTACTGTGTACTTCGAGATGTCTGAATTTAAAGCGTTTCTGATTCGGATCCTCTCCCTAAAAAATATATATGAAAAGCTAGCTCTGAAGTTGAGGTTGTGAATGATAGGTTTGTGGGTGGGCTGTTTTTTTTTGGGGGGGGGCTGTTTTTAAAAAAAAAAAATGTAGTTAATTCCTCATACTTCCAGATTGTGCTCTTAAGGCCTGCCAGACAGGATGTACAGACGGAAGCTGTTGAAAGCTCTTCGCTTTAGCACATTTTTCCCAAATTCAGCTAGTACGTGAGACAAATTAGCCTCTTCCTTCTCTCATGTATACGCATTGCGTTAGTATTGCAATGACATTCCAATGCGGGTTCTATTATGAGAAATTTTAACATGGCTTTAAATTATACTCCATAGCGTAGACCTGTGAGCTGCAGCGCCAATTAGATTTCTATGAGATCATCTCAGTCAGGTTTCTGTGAGACCATCTGATATAGCCGAGTTTTACTTGGCCTCTAATTGCTGACAGAGTGGCAGCCACTAAAGGCATTTAAACCCTGCAGAATGGTAATGCATTACATTGCAGGGTTAAAGGAACACTAGGGGCACCCAAACCACCTATCCTCAATGCCTATCTGATTGGCGCAGCGTGGTGTTTTACTGCGCATGCGCACTACACACTAAATGCTACTAAATTGAACACAAACTTTGGGGCAAAAATAACGGATTTGGAAAATTTTCTATCTCCGTTACAGTGGCTGCTTTTAGCCAAAATTTTGAATGTGTTCTTCAATCAACTATTTATTTACTTATTTATATTGTAAATGTTCTGCAACCATATTTGAGGAGATCTGCTGAAAAGTACAAACTTCTATAATTTAGTTTCCTAAAGCATCTGGCACAAAGGGTAAAAAAATTAGGATGTAACCAACTGGGTCATAGGTTGCAGTGTTTAAATGTAACTTCATTAGTACACATCAGTTCCTGTTATAATTTTTTTGCAGAGAGACAGGGTGTGAGTGTATTTTGTAAATATTCTCATAAAATATATCATTCATATGCAAAATGCAAATATACGTATGTAATATAATTAGGTCCCTTACCATTGCCTTTTTGTAATGTAGGAGTACTAGTGCTAGAAAGTATGCTTTGAAAATGGAGAGAAGGAGGCAAACATGAACCGCAAAAGTTTTATTTTGCATTAGTAGATGCAAAGGATAGCCTTCCCATGAAGGTGGTAGCAGCTGATACGTTAAAGGAACACTATAGTCACCTAAATTACTTTAGCTAAATAAAGCAGTTTTAGTGTATAGATCATTCCCCTGCAATTTCACTGCTCAATTTACTGTCATTTAGGAGTTAAATCACTTTGTTTCTGTTTATGCAGCCCTAGCCACACCTCCCCTGGCTATGATTGACAGAGCCTGCATGAAAAAAAAAAACTGGTTTCACTTTCAAACAGATGTAATTTACCTTAAATAGTTGTATCTCAATCTCTAAATTGAACTTTAATCACATACAGGAGGCTCTTGCAGGGTCTAGCAAGCTATTAACATAGCAGGGGATAAGAAAATCTTAATTAAATAGAACTTGCAATAAAGAAAGCCTAAATAGGTCTCTCTTTACAGGAAGTGTTTATGGAAGGCTGTGCAAGTCACATACAGGGAGGTGTGACTAGGGTTCATAAACAAAGGGATTTAACTCCTAAATGGCAGAGGATTGAGCAGTGAGGCTGCAGGGGCATGTTCTATAAACCAAAACTGCTACATTAAGCTAAAGTTGTTCAGGTGACTATCGTGTCCCTTTAAGGAATTTAGATGTGTCTGCAGAATGTACAGACGGGGATATTAAACACATGTTGTTTTTAGACTTGAATAGATGATAGATTTTCCCTAAGCAGAGCCGGGGTCCAATACACCATTGAAACGGCAACACCCAGAATTCACAGCACCTAACCCTGCAGGATTTGCCCTAAGCAGAGCCTGTGTCCCATACACCATTGAAATGGCTACACTCAGAACTCACAGCACCCAACCCTGCAGGATTTGCCCTAAGCAGAGGCAGTGGCGGATCCAGAGCCTGATCTCGGGAGGGGCACTTGTAGATTTTTTAAAGAAATAATTCAGGCACAATAACCACTACAGCTCAGTGTAGTAGTTCTGGTGCCAGTAGTGCTAGGATCCCATCCTAGAGTAAGTAGTCAAACCGTTTAAGAACAGTTTGACAACTTACCTGGGGTCTGCTGGGATATAGGGCATAGGAGCAGTGGTATGTGTTAGGGGTGAAGTGTGTGTGAGCGGCGATGTGTGTTTGCGAGTGAGTGAGGGCGGCAGTGTATGTCAGGGTTGCAGTGTGTGTGTTAGGGGGCAGTGTGTGTGTGTGTGAGCGGTGCAGTGTGTATGTGAGGATGGCAGTGTGTGTTTGGGGCAGTGTTTGTGGGGCAGTGTGTGTAGTGTGTAAATGGGGGGCAGTGTGTGTATGGGGGGCAGTGTGTGTAGTGTGTGTATGGGGGGCAGTGTGTGTAGTGTGTGTATGGGGGCGGTGTTTGTGGGGACAGGTGTGTATGGGTGTGCAGTGTGTGTATGGGGCGGTGTTTGTATGGGTGTTACGGTGTTTGTATGGGTGTGCGGTGTGTATGGGGGGCAGTGTATGTCAGGGGTTGCGGTGTGTGTGTGTGTGTGTGTGTGTGTGTGTATGTGGGGGTGTAGGTGTCGTATGGGGGCGGTGTGTTGGATGGGTGTGCGGTGTGTGTATGGGGACGGAGTCTTTGGTGTGTATGGGTGTGGCGGTGTTTGTGGGGACTGTGTGTGGTGTGTATGGGGCGGTGTTTGGGGCTGGTGTGTGTGGGTGTGTGTATCGTTCTGCGGTGTTTGTGGGGCGGTGTGTATGGGGCAGTGTGTGTGTGGTGTGTCTGGGGGCTGTCGTGTGTATGGGTGTTTATGGGGCCGGTGTGTGTGTATGGGGCGGTGTTGTGGGGAGTGTGTGTGTATGGGGGCGGTGTGTGTGGTGTGTGCATGGGGGCGGTGTTTGTGGGGCGGTGTGTATAGTGTGTTTATGGGGACGGTGTGTGTGTATGGGGCGGTGTTT